GCTCACATAGTTCCTGTTTTGACATGTCAGTTTCACCAACCCATCATTTTTTTCCATCCAAATAGTCATAAGATATTCAGCTTTAGCCAAATAAATTTCATGTCATCTTTCATCAAATGCAGACCGTGAGTGATAAATTATTGCCGGAAAATCAGCTTCAGTATGAGTGTCACCACATCTGGTCTGTCACCCACAACCTCCCTCACTTTGACATATTATTTGATGAAAGAACAGAAACATCATGTTCCAGGAGCTTCTGTAATTTCCTTGAGACACTGGCACTATGGTTTCACAGTCCTCAAGGAGAAACTTAACTTTTAACTGGATATCTTAATTTCTTTCTTTTTTTTTTTTTTTTTGGAGACAGAGTCTCACTCTATGGCCAGACTGGAATGCAGTGGCTCAAACTCGGCTCCCTGCAACCTCTGCCTCCTGGGTTCAAGAGATTCTCCGGCCTCAGCCTCCCGAGTAGCTGGGACTACAGGCACATGCCACCACGCCCAGCTAATTTTTGTATTTTTAGTAGAGATGAGGTTTCACTATGTTGGCCAGATGGTCTCGATCTCTTGACTTCGTGATCCGCCCGCCTCAGCCTCCCAAAGTGCTGGGATTACAGGCGTGAGCCACTGCCCCTGGCTGATATCTTAATTTCTAACCAAAGCCATACAGCTTTATTTTTTTAGATTCAACCTCTTAAAAGTAGAGCTTGCAAGACAGCATCTAATCAAGCCATTTGCAGCTTTGCTAATTCAGTGCTGGTTTATGCATCTTTGTTTGCAATTGGGATTCCAGTTTTACAGCTGAGACTCCCCATCTTCTACATTTCCCACAGGCTGTCCGCTTGTTCCTCAAGATGTTCACTCTCCTTCTCCTCAGCATAACATTTGCTGCTGCCCAAAGGTTTCATTTGGCTCAAGTAAACGGCACTAAATGTGATTAAGAGATAGGATCCAAATTTTAAGCAGTTCCTATTTCTTTTTTTCTTTTTCTTTTCTTTGAGATGGAGTCTCGCTCTGTTGCCCAGGCTGGAGTGCAATGAATGGCACAATGTCAGCTCACTGCAACCTCCGCCTCCCTGGTTCAAGCCATTCTCTTGCCTCAGCCTCTTGAGTAGCTGGGACTACAGGCATGCACCACCACGCCTGGCTAATTTTTGTATTTTTAGTAGAGGTGGGGTTTCGCCAGTTTGGCCAGGTTGGTCTCGAACTCCTGAACTCAAGTGATCCACCCGCCTTGGCCGCCTAAAATGCTGGGATTACAGGCGTGAGCCACCGAGCCCGGCCAGATCCTATTTCTTAATCACATTTCATGCCATTTATTTGAGCCAAGTAAATCCTTTTTGTCTTATTTTTTGGTATTTCATTTCATCTACCTTCTTTTCTGCTGTTTCCTTCAAATGCTTTGCCATCTTTTCCCATCCTACCTGCCTAGAATATGAAGGAGTCCTACTCTGTACTATGACAGCAACAGAAGCAGATCTTAGCCCTTCAATTGATGATTCTCTCCTTCAACAAAATGCCAACCCCTTACAGCATCTGCAGAGAATGGGGCCATAACTCCTGCATTTGGCATAAATGTCAGCTCCTCACAGAGGTAGTTCTGAGTCCCTGGCTAGGATGAGCTTGCCAGTTGTTACCTGCCGGAGACATTTCTCCACCCATCATTTTCAGTGTATAAACTAATGGTAAGTGTGATTCTTGATGCTCTGAAAGGGCAATAAAACATCGCAAAGGATGGGTATAAAAAAATAGAAAGAATGAATAAGGCGTACTATTTGACAGCACAATAGGGTGATTATACTCAATAACAACTTAATCTGTACATTTTAAAATAACTTAAAGAGTGTAATTGGATTGTTTGTAACTCAAAAGTTTCATGCTTGAGGGGAATGGATACCCCATTCCCCATGATGTGCTTATTTTGTATTGCATGCCTGTATCCAAACATCTCATATACCCTACAAATATATATATTTCCCATGTACAAAAACTTTAAAAAATTAGAAAACAAATAAATAAATAAAACGCTTCTAGGCTGGGCCCGGTGGCTCACACCTGTAATCCCAGCACTTTGGGAGGCCGAGGCCGGTGGATTGCCTGAGGTCAGAAGTTCGAGATCAACCTGGTCAACATGGTGAAACCCCATCTCTACTAAAAATACAAAAATTAGGTGGGCGTGGTGGTACATGCCTGTAATCCCAGCTACTCAGGAGACTGAGGCAGGAGGATCGCTTGAACCAAGGAGGTGGAGGTTGTAATGAGCTGAGATTGTGCCACTGCACTCCGGCCTAGGTGGCAAGAATGAGACTTTGTCTAAAAACAAATAAACAAAAAAAATACTTCTAGAAGGAAAAAGAAAACACCACTACAAAGGGAACTTACTCTGTTTTGCCCCTCCCAGTACAATAAAATTAGATAATGAAAAATCCAATTCCTCAGTCACACGTCACATGCTCAACAGACGTAGGTGGTCACAGGCTACTACACTGGAGAGAACAGCTAGAGAACGTGTGCATCAGCACAGGGCACCACTGGAACAGCACTGTGCCATCTGTGAGGCCACACCCACCTCACACCATTCTGAACGATACAGTCAGCAAAGACTTACACATCTATTTATCAGCATTTATCGTGTGTTTATCCCACACTGTTTATCAGCATTTCCTCAGAGATTGGGCAGAATAAAGCACTTACAAAATAACAAAGGAAGCCAGGCGCAGTGGCTCATGACTACAATCCCAGCACTTTGGGAAGCCGAGGTGGGTGGGTCACCTGAGGTCAGGAGTTTGACAGTGAAACCCCACCTCTACCAAAAATACAAAAATTAGCTGGGCATGGTGATGGGCGCCTGTAGTCCCAGCTACTCAGGAGGCTGAGGCAGGAGAAGTGCTTGTACCCAGGAGGCAGAAGTTGCAGTGAGCCAAGATGGCGCCATTGCATGCCAGCCTGGGCAACAGAGCAAAACTCCATGTCAAACAATAAAAAATAAAAATAACAAATAACAAAAGAATATTGAAGTGGCCTCCAGGGAGAGCCACGTCCTATTCCAGATTGCGTCTGACCATCTGACTATTGTTCACAGCTTGCTATCCCCTTCTCTGTCTCAGGTTCTTTGAAAATCTGTTATCATTTCCTTTGCAAAAAGTCAGGGGACTTTATTAATTCAAAAAGTTTAAAGGAACCGAAAAGCAAATGCTAGCACAATAAACATTCATCCATGATCCTTTTCATAAATTACTGGATTAAAGTTGTACTCATTTGTGTCTCTCAAATCCTTCACAGACAGAATGATGTTACTGACAAAACGCTCAGGTCAAACTACTACAATTTCCATAGCACGTGTCTTCTTGCTCACAAGCATACACGTTTGAAACTAGAGTGAGTTTTTAAAACCTGAAATTAAGATTATCCCAATGTTTAATACTTTTAGCTGCCAATCTTCCTCCCCCAGCAATTCGTCTTAGTAAACATTCTTCAAAGCTAACATTCCCGGAAGCATGATGCAATTTGTAGCTGAGACATCCTGTGTGTGTGAGCAACAGCTACAGCCCTGACATCAGTGTCCCATGACAGCCATCTATACAGAGATGTTTGCTTTCTTTTTGCCTTCTTCTTCCCCTCTTCTGTAAGTAAATTATTACTCTTACCTTAAATAGCAAAAATATTAAGGGCATGTATATTGCTTACTGCGGGTCTAAATTTCTCTTCCAATTTCAGTAGAGCCACGTGCAGCAATATCCTGCAAGCCACCTCTGGCACGTGGCCAAGCTCCTAGCAACACCATCAACCAACACGGCGGGTGCTTCCTCCTTGCTCTGCTCTACGCAGCATGATTTCCAAACTGTTGTAACTGCTCTGTCGCGTGTCGGCGCAGCATACTAACCACACTCCCCCGGCCTCCAGGGTGCCCCATGCACATGTGGGCTCACGGTGACTCTCTGGGTCATCCACCCTCTCCATTAGTCTCACACTGGGCAGTGATTTGGTTTTTCCTGATTGCACTTCAGCTTGAGCCCTCAGTCACCACCATCACCAACACCTCACCCCTTGCAGTTTCTAAGGCTGTCCTGCCCACTTGTGCCTTCCAGGTGTGTGAGCCATCTCAGCTTCATAGAGCCTGAGGAAGCAAACTGGGAAGGTTCATGCCCACTGCCTCTCACTTGTCAGCCCCAGAGGTCTTCATAGACCAGCCAGGTCCCCAAACTCAGCCTCTGCTGATAGCTCAGCCTATGTCTTCAAACCCCGCATCAGCTTCATTGTGCTCTATTCACCTCTGAGTAACTTAGGATATAGGTCTAGGGCCCAAATTAAACTTGAAGAAGTAGTACCTGGGAGGAGATTTAGGAAGGTATCCTCAGGGAGTTGTGAAATAGAATATTTATAAGCAGATGGGAATTCCCAGGCTCCAAGGGAGGAAATACCTCCACCTTGCCGAGGGTAGAGGAACACCTGGTTCCTCTGAAAGGACACTCACATCAGACTCAAATCCCAGAACAAGCATCTGGTCTTTTCCTGAGCTCAGCAGGGTAGGTCACATAGGCTTAGCTCCAAAGGAATCCCACCAGGTATCAAAACGGGATATTAGTAAGCTTAGAGATTCTAGGGGCAGGTGGAATGAAGTTATAAATTGCAGTTCCACCACCTACTCTCCACTAGTGGTTCAATTGCTTCACCCGAACCTCAAACTGGTAGTGCCTACTTCATAGGAATAACAAGGAAACACAGGAAAAGTCCAGAGCCAGCTTCTGAATCAGAGTAAAACTGTTCAGGAAAAGCTTTGATTGCCTTGTTTTTTAGATTGTAAATGGAGTCTCAACCTCTAGAGTCATTGTATTACCAATGATCTCACAAAGAAAATTTATAAGGATGGGTTTCAGGAAATAGGTAAGATTCCCAGGAAGCAAGTACATTTATGTTAAAATGTACTTGCTTCTTGTCCACTCTATACCTGTATCTGGGATGCCCTATGAGTATAGGTAAAAGCAATATTTCAGAACATACCCAAATCAAGGCTGTGCTGGTCTTCATGTTCATTCTGTTGAACCATGAGGCTTTTGTCACACTGAAAAAGATAAAGTCCAGTGGGTTTTTTAAAAATTACATATATGACCTTGTGATCCGCCCGCCTCGGCCTCCCAAAGTGCTGGAATTACAGGTGTGAGCTACCGCGCCCGGCCAGATTTACTCTTATAATCACCTTGTTGGCAAATATCTATAGACATCAAACTTCAAGCAGAAATTTGTTTTGCAGAATGTATTCAGTCATCTCGCACATACAACTACAACTCAGAAAGATAGTTAGGTTTGGTTATAAAGACTAGGGATTACAATTTTGATAAAGAAAATGGGGCTGGGCACGGTGGCTCACGCCTGTAATCCCAGCACTTTGGGAAGCTGAGGCGGGCGGATCACCTGAGGTCAGGAGTTCGAGACAGCCTGGCCCACACGGTGAAACCCTGTCTCTACTAAAAATACAAAAATTAGCCAGGCATGGACTAAAAATACAAAAATTAGCCAGGTGTGGTGGTGTATGCCTGTAGTCCCAGCTACTCAGGAGGCTGAGGCATGAGAATCGCTTGAACCTGGGAGGCAGAGGTTGTAGTGAGCTGAAATCATGCCACTGCACTCCAGCCTGGGCAACAGAGCAAGACTCCATCAAGAAAGGAAAGAAAGGGAAGAAAGGGAAGGGGAGAGGAGGGGAGGGGAGGGGAGGGGAGGGGAGGGGAGGGGGGGGGGGGGAGGGGGGGGGAGGAAAGGGAAGGGGAAGGGGAAGGGAAAGGAAAGAAAAGAAGAGAACGAGAGAAAGAGAGAGAAAGAAAGAAAAAGAGAAAGAAAGAGGAAAAGAAAAGAGAATTTCGCATTGTTCTGAAAGTGACTTGGGACACATACCTTTTAGTGTTTTAAAAATTTTTTATTACCACTGAATCTTCATTTCTACTTTATGAAAAGATGTGCAAAGAAGAAAGGAGCAAATAGAGCAGGGAGTCATTCATTACCTTTACATCTTCCTTTTCCGGCACTGATCTGCTGGACACTGTATTCTTAATCTCTGCAAATGAAATAATTCTCATCAGGATCTGCTGATTGGAGCTTTTGTTACGAAGAAGAACAACTGCTAGCTGACAAGTGTGAATTAGCTGGCCAGGAGCCTTCTGCACAGAGGTAGGTTTTTAGATTAGGCCTCTTAAAAATCAGCTCTCCAGAGAGCAGAGTGTCTAATAACCTGACTGCCCATACTCTGGCATTGTCTGTGTGGACCAAGATATATACAAGCCCAGGAGCTTTCACAGGAAATTCTAGGGGAGAAAAATGATCATTAAATAAATAAATGCCCTTGATTCCAAAGGAAGGCTACTCACTACCAAAGACTCTTCAAAATAGCAGATTGTAAGGATATGACTCGTAGCCACCTAAGGAAATCCCACACGTCTATTTCCTCAAATACCAGTTTTCAATATGTTTCAAAAGGTCATAACTCATTGTACAAGAGGTCTGGCTTTTCCTTGTACATCACTGAAAGTCAAGAACACCAGCACAGCCCTAAGGCTACAACCTCAGCCCCAGGCATACCGGGTGGTCTCTTTCTGAATAAAGGGTTTCCTGGAAACAGTAGTGGTCAGGATATATTGGGATGAAAATAAAAGGTTCACCCAAGGCAGCATTTTTCTCTGTGGTTTCACTGATTGGTTCTCTTCCCAAATACTCCGTTGCCCATAAACAAGAGCCACTGTTGTCCAAATAACCACCAAGAGCAGGTTTGGGCTTGGGGAAAATTAAGCACTCTACATCCCTAGCAAGGACAGATGACTAAAAGTCTTTACCCCAGATTCGTATTTACATACATCATTGCAGGGTCTCACCCTTTTTCTGGAAGCTCTGCATCCCTTCCCCCACAGCCCTGCTTAATGCTGATTCTGGGGAAACCCCTGGAATTTTCCAGCAGGTTCATTACCCAGACCTTCCCTACTCCACTTTGTCAGTTCTATTAATTACCCAACGTCTCAAACCTGCAGGTGGATTTATTCAAGCTCTTCTTACTTCTGGACAACAATGCTAGGAGTTACCATCCACGTTTATTCTTAGAAAAACTATAAGGTATTCATTTATATGGCTCTACATGACAAAGCGTAATAAAGATGACAAATTACAAGGATGAAGCTATAAGTAATAAGACCAGGATGCATCAGAGAAACCAACAATCCTACTTGTCTTGTGTTTATAAAAATCTGGACAACAATAACTGAATTTGCTTTGCAGCAAGCAAATAATACCATTATTTGCATGCCACATTAATATATTGCTCTTGAATTTGTAATGCATATTAGCTTCTATGATTAAACCAATGAAAAGGTCATGACCCTAATTTTGTGTGGTCATGTCAACTAATCTCAGCAGGGAGTGAGGACAACATCATAGTGGACACCCAGACCAGGCAGCTTGTGTACGCAGCATCTCTACTTGCCTTTAAATGCACATCCTGGAGAAGGCCTCCAGGTGGCAGCAGAGTAACAGCATCATGAACGGCATTGCCTGAAGTAGAAATGTCAAAATGGGCTAACGTCACCACCCTTCAAGGACCTGCTTTCAAGTGCCAAAGTCCAAAACACACAGTTAAAATTAACATTTTTGTCCTACTACATACATGCAGAAAAGCACCTACCACGGCATTTGCTATATTATAAATGTACAGTAGGGGCTTGGTTTGGTTTTGAAACTCAGAAATCAAACCCTAAAAATTGGGCTAAGTAGGAAAGACACCAGAAAGACATTAAAAAAAAAAAAAAAAGAAGAAGGGAAGGATAACCATGATCAAAGTTTCAATAGACACATCAGCATAGACATCAAGAGTCGCACCCTTTTATTTTGCCTGTTTTAGGACATTCATTCCTTTAAAGTCGTCTAAGCCATAAACTCTTAAAGGATCATTACACTGCATTTCTAAAGAATTCTGTACATATAGCATTTATTCAGAAGAATGGTATACATTTTATCCAGATTGCTAATGGAAAAGGCAATCTCATCTGGTAATGAAGTTTGCAGTAACAGAGGATGTGTTCACACCTCGTAGTACATTTAAGTTTCAGCTTCCTTCACCAACTAAAAACGCCGGTGAACCAGTCTTTATAGATTGCCATACTTACGTTTTTCCGTGTAGTCCAGCTCAATTTTTTTCACTTCAAAACAAATACCACAAACTATATTAAAATATATGTCTTCATTAAAAATTGTATCTCGTCCTTTAAAAATAACTTCCAAATGTGGAAAGTCTCTATCCGAAAATCATTTTAAAATATTTGTGATATTGTGCTGATTCAAGATAATAATGTATCTTTAATTAACCTAGGACTAAACAGAACTATATCTTAGAACTTTCAAAGAATTTGGCATTCATTCTACTGGAGTTTAATTAAATTGCTCCAGGAGAGTTTCTGTTAAGTTAGTAGGATCCTTTTACACTAACCCACTGTACCACAAATTATACAGTGCAATCAAACCGCTCATTGCTATAGCAACCTTCAGTAGATAATGGTATCAGTAACTCTACCTATTCTGTTTTAAAGGCCTATTAACCTTGCCCTCAAGCCCACCCAGAGTGAGGATTACCCCTCCAAATCAGACTTGCCAAACTTGATAGACATGTTTTTTTAAATTTGCTAAGCTATAAAGGAACAAGAGATAATCTCTAAGACTGATGTTCACTAGTGACACTGCACCAGTGAACAGCGAAGTCACTGTAAGATTCATGCCAGTGTCTCATTAAGAAGCAGATTTGCCTAAAAGATCTCAACTCTAAGCACAAGTCTTACTGTCTTATTTTGCAAATGAGACCACATAGCCTAGACTTAAGCAATGAAAAAGCTTACACCAAAAACAGAGGATGCTCGGTATTCTGATTTTAATCACCACTTGGCTGTGGCAGAAGAATCACGGTCAGAGGCAGCCGGACCACCAGCGTTGTACTGTTAACAACTGAGTCCACCAATAGTTTACATCTACAGGGTAGTGTCAAAAGCACAAGTGGAAAACAAGGATCATGCTCTCACTTTGCTCCGCCTGTACCCACAAATACTGGGAAAACACCCTGACGGCAGTGTTCATAGCAGCCCTCTGTACCTCTCTGACATGCATGGCGGGTAGTTCACAGTCTTTGAATGAATATTTTTCTCTCAATAGGCTGCAAATTCTGGGAGAGCTGAGACCACATGGATTTCCGCTCAACCCTCGTATCCCTGGGGCCAAGCTGTGTGCTTAGCACATAACAGGTGCTGAATAAATGCTTCTCTCCTCCACCTACATCTGGTGGCCCAAAATATACATAGCTGATGAGATGTAGTGGATCGTTAGACAAGCTGTGGATCAGGACAGAGAAGGAAAAGTCATTTACTTTTTGGAATTAACTAATTGAAACACTTCCAATACTAGTGCTATTTTATCACAACTTCTGAACTGCCAGATTTAAAGACAGATGAATGCTTTTCTCCTTACTTCCTCTCTCCCTTCTGGCTCTGTAAGTCCAAAAGCCAACTCTTTTCCTGTCCACTTAGTAAGTATTGCTGTTTCACTACTAACTACTGCACTTCCACGCGTTGCTACAATGTTTTGTCCTAGTGTGCAAATTCAATTCACAATGGCCAGAGAATTACAATGGCAAAGGCAGTCGAGAGACTACTTGTCGCTCTTAATTCAGAGACTATTATAACACTGAAATTTTGTTTCAATATCCCAGTTATTCCTCTTTTTTCTCCCCCTAAAAGTGGGACTACTAATAAGAACTTTCATTTTGCCTGCCGAGTATAAATATGAACTGGGAGCAACAATGAGGCATTTATCTACAGAAGTATCAAAATGAGACTCATCAGAGAGTGAGAGCCCAACATTCCATTCAATTCAACACTCTCCACTGGTCACCACTGAGCAGCAGGTGTGGAGAAGAAACCAAGGTGGAAGAAGAAATTCCTGGCCTCAAGCAACTCCAAAATGTGCTCCTTGGCATATCATTTTAGTATTTATATTCTATATTGTTTCAGGAAGAATTTAAGACATCTTCTTTAAAATACAGGGTTGTTGGTTTTTTTGCCCATTTAAATTACCTGTGATTTTTTTTTTTTTTTTAAGACAAAAGGAATTATTTAAGACAGTGGAGAATTACCTCCTCTTAGACAGTTTTTTTGTCTGGAGATTAACATATGATCCAATTCTGGCCAGAATCTTAATAGAAAGTTCCTGGTACCTCTCTAAAAAAGGCTTCTATCACTAATAGAAAAAAAAAATTGCAGGGCAAAGGGATCTTTTTCCATTGCTCTTATTGTCTGAACAGAGTTCAGTGAAGAAATGATTTCAGAGCTGGTGTAGCCCTCTTGCAACACCGGACTGCTACGGGCCATTTTCCATGGCACGCCTACCCTTCTTGTGAAAACTTTTCTACCGGATTATCTTTTATCTTTTGAAGGAAAAACAAAGGTATAAACAAAACATTTTTCAAAGGTATAAACAAAATTCAATTTTTATCAAACTTAGATTCTACTTCAACTCAAGAAACTAACCTTTAGCTACATTTTCACATTAAGCCCATTGCAATTCTATTAGAATACTTAGCTGAGTTTAATACTTGCTGTTTCTCTCTAGCCTGCTTATCTGACTCAGCTAGAATAAAGTGTCTATATCAGATATGAGCCAAATGTGTTGCATCTAGGTGAGTTCTGGGGAACCTCTGAGTTGCGAGCTCAAACATATAGTGGGTTCTACCAGATGATCTCTAAAGTTCTTTCTAGGTCAAACTATGATTCTTTAATCCTTTGATAAATTAAGTGGTGAGGAGGAGAATTTTTATTTATGTGTGAGAAAATACTGATATTTTTATGATAATATACAAAATGAGTATTATACCATCATGATATCCTATCCTTATCCTTGTCCCTTTAATGGTGAAGATCATTCTTTTCTGTGACAAGGAGAAGAAAGATGGCTGGCAAAGTCAGTCACTAAGGGAAATACAGAAAAGGCTGAACTGCTCTGTAAAATGCAGTCATAAAAAAGGAAGAGTTCATG